GCTGGCCGCTGACTAAGGGACTGGGGGTGAGCGTGAGGAGGAGCCTGTGTCCCCAGCTGGGTGGGGAGCCGGGTGTGGGCAAGCCCTCCCCGCCCCGTCCCCTTCCCGCCTTCCTGCCTCTGTCCCTTCCTCTCTGGGCTCCGCAGCAGCCTGGCCTGGCCATGGACAGGTACAGCATGGAGGAGCTCATCCAGCTGGGCCAAGGTAGGGGCGGGCGGCCGGGCGGCGGGCGGGCGGTCTGGCCCTCATGGGCCCCCGCGGGGCTGCGTGGTAGGGTGGAGGCGGGGTCCAGGCACTGTCCACTGCGGGGGCCTGGCGGGTAGCTGCCCAGGCCGCTCGCTGCCCTGAGGCCCCGCCTGCCCGCCAGGCATCGGGACGCGAGCAGGCGTCAGGGTACAGCCCTCTCCTCCCTGGCCTCTCCCTGGGGCTCCGCCCTGGCGGTCAGCGGCCAGTGTGGCCTGGGCCGGGCGGGTGGCACGAGGACCGGGCTGCCTCCCGCTGGCCGTCGTTGACTGGCCTGCTGTGTCCAAGGCAGTTGGGACCACCGAGGTTGTCAGCTGACCGTGTCGCCTGCCTCGGGGTATCCACGGGGTGGACCCCACCACCCCCACTCTGCACCTGCCCTCCCGGGTTTTGAGTCCCTGAGAGGAGGGTCAGCCCTGCCCTTCTGCCCTGACTGCCCCATGACCTGTCCTCAGTGCCCAGAGGCCCAAGCCAGCACAGGACCCTGGACGGGCCTTCTGAGGGCAGTGGCTGGGGCGGTGGCACGTGCACCCGGACTCGGGACGCGGCCTGCGTGGGGTGCGGTGCCCAGCCTGGTGCAGGCTGCCTGTTTTCTGGGCCGTGGGGTGGCCGGCTGCCCCCTGCGGCCTCTGCCAGCTCACCCGCGGCGCCCCTTAGAGGGAAGGGCTGGGACTGCAGCCCCCGGCGTGGGCAGGGGGTTCTGCAGCCAGGCGGCTGCTTATTATTAGAATTCCCAGGGGCGTCCAGTGGCGCCGCCCAGCCGGACCGGGCCCCGGAGGGCCGCAGCCCAGTGCCCGGCCCCACGTCATGTTCTAAGTCTGGACAAGTGACGGCCGAGGCCTCCTTGATATTTATATCCCGCCCGGGCCGCCCCTCCCCCACGCCAGGCTGTGCTGACCGCAGCAGGGTGCCCTCCTCCCGCGGCCACCAGCGCCTTGCTGTCCGCCACTCCGCAGGGCCTGACCCCCACACCCGGCCCACTCCGGTCTGCCCCTGCGCCCCACCACTGCCCCAATGAAGGTCGTGCCGGGTAGGTGGGGGTGGCGGTCAGCGGGCTCTGAGTGGCTGAGCTGGGGGCCGGCGGGCCGGCGGGCAGCGGCTCTGCCTGCGCCGCCCTTGGGCCGCTCCCCGAGCCTGCCCCCTGGACCCTTGGGGTGCCCCAGGCGCCAGTCTCTGAGCAGCTGGTCAGCTGCAGGCTGGGACTAGAGAGGGCAGGGGCCTGCGGGCGACAGCAGAGGGCAGCCGTATTGGCAGAGGGGCGTTGGGGCATCGGTCACTCTGCGGGGTGGGGGG